ACATATTTTTGATGCTAAAAATCTCTGGGACTACTGTTTTGTGGCACCAAAAAATGTCATTGTTTCGCTCGTTTCTGTTAGATTTCATTGTTTTGATCGTAACTGTTACGTATGTAGCTATAAGTTATGTAGCCTTTCTTTGACAACTTCCAACCATGATGACATTATGTTTGTGTTATGGATGACCTAACACAAGCAAGTTTCAAGTTGCTGCCTGGATAATTGAAAAACACAGTGACAGTGATGAATTATAGCAGAAAAAATAAATGTGATAACTTGATCATACCTTGTTGAGTCCTCGGTTGCAGGTGCTGCTGGAAGGTGTCATCTGCAGCAGCTGCCAGGCTGCTTCACTTCTGGACTGGTCAGGTCTCCACTGCTTGTCATCTCCACTGGCTGGTTACTTGGCTTTACTGGGTGAACTGGCTCATCTTCTATAAGGCTGCTTTTACAATAGTAATGAAATGAGGAGCAAGTTTGCCCACCGGCATCCTTCAAACTTCTCTAAAACTTAAGTAAACTGATGTTCAAATCAAAATAAAATAGGATTGCTCATCAGTGTGGGATACCCTCTGCTCTCTGTGTGTGTGTCTCTCTTATGAAGCTGATGGACTGCCAGTCCATGCATTCCACTGTTACCTTGTATGGTCACTGGGGGGCGGGCCTTACACCAGGGAATGCCCCCTTTAAACATGACTGATGTCAGATGAACCAAGAAGCCTCAAATAGTGACCTATTCAGTTTGTCTGGGAGAGAGAGAGCGGGGGGGGGGCGGGGGCCAGGAGGGGGAGAAAGAGGGGAAGAAGAGGGTTGAGTTAAGAGTGGAGGAGGACAAGTAGAAGGAGACAGAAGCTGAGAAACAAAAGGAGGGAAAAAGAGAAAAAAAAGAAGAATTATTGAACAGAGTAAGGGAAATAAGGAGGAGTGTGTTGGGGGGGTATATTTTCCTTAGTGAATGAAAAAAAGGTTTGACAGTTTTCATATTTCTTCTAAATTTGGGCTTTTTCTGCATCGGGCAGCTGACTGGACGGCAAACCAATGAAATATCATGATACCATGTGGGACCTATTACACTGCTGAGAGACAGACAGACAGACAGAAAGAGAGAGAGGGAGAGACAAACAGACAGACTGAGAGGGAGGCAGACAGTCAGAGAGAGGGAGAGAGAGAGAGAGAGAGCAGGAAGAGGGTAATTATATGGAGTAACATTGTTTCACTGCTCTGATCTGTTACACACTTCACATAAAAAGAAATCCATCCACTTTGACTGCGTTTGAGCACTAAGCATCATCGATGTAACAGAATCCTTCTCTCATCCTGCTCAGCTCAGAATGCGGCCCACAAATTCAATGCTTGATCCAAGGTGTTAATGAAGCAGGTCTCTGTAAAGATGTTGGCACAACAGTCTTTGATTTCCTATTGTGTGGCCAGCCTGAGTCTCATTTCAGCCATTAGCTGGGAGTAGCCTTAAGTCCAAGCTGGGACCAGCATGGCTTCTGCTCTTAAACTGCAGCAATTAAACTGAAAACAGATTAAAACAAAAAGAGAGAACTTTGAAGGAGTAGCCTACCAGCCGGAGCATTTGCTATTGCCAAAATAGTCAAAGTCGATTTGAACAATTTTGGCTTAGCCCTTCAAATCAAACCCAATCAGACATCATTCAATAATGTTTTTAGCAATAACGCTGAAACAAATTACAGATTAATCAATCATTAACCATTTCATTTAATGTTTTACATTGTAGGAGGAGGCACATCTCTCAACCTCACCTATCAAACTGACCATATATTCTGTTTTCCATTTTTTTTCAGATATTTCTTGGAGATTTTTGTCTTTATTGGATAAGACAGCTAAAGACAGGGGAGAGTGGGGATGCCATGCAGCAAAGTGGCTCAGAGGTAGAGCGGGTCATCTACTAATTGGAAGGTTGTTGGTACGCTCCCCAGCTTCTCCCACTGCATGTTAAAGTATCCTTGAGCAAGATACTGAACACCAAAATGCTCCCTTAGTTAGTTAGTTTTTGTTTGATGAGCTTTGCCATCTTTGTGTGAATGTGTGTGAAAGGCTGAATGTGGCATGTACTGATCGTAAGGCTAGAAAGGTGCTACTCAAGTGATTGATACTATACAAGTACAGTCTATTTACCATAAATCCATTATGAGCATAGGGACCTACTATGTACTCTTAAAATATCTTTACACGTGCAGGATTTGCTTTGACTGGCCATGACAGAGTATGATACGGCGACTTTTTGTCTCTTACAGTAACCTACAGTAAATTATACTTGAGGTTTCCTAATTCAAGCTAATTTTGAGCACTTTTATTCATGTGCTATTGTGCTATCCTACTATTCTTGGCTTTTATTCAAGCCAAAATATGAGATGTTTGATAAATACAACTGTATTTTAAGTATAAGACAATAAATACAAAAACTGAAATCACTGATTTCGCATGTTGTGAGTCTCTGAAGTGTCAGTGGTCCATATGAGTCCATAGCAGCCACAGTTCTAACATTGTTGTTTTCTTGAAATTGTTTGTATTTTACAAACACAATGAAAACATTTAGATGTGTATCATCTGGTGACTGGATAGAACTTTAGTTCTAGAGTTCAGTGCTCTAAAGTCAGTGGAGATGGTTGCGGCCATCATTGAGTCCATCCTCACCATGCTACTGCTACTGCCAGGGTTTCAGTTGTGGGGGTCTCTAAAAAAGCAACGTTAGATTGGGAAAAGCGGAGTGAAGGGAGAACACATTCCCACCCTTTTAGGTATCATAAGTAGTTACTTTTTTACGCTCTGCAGTACCCTGTCCTTTATAGCACTCTATTAGTGGGAAGATACATCATAAATGGTTGTTGGTAATGAATTAGCGACCCCCATCTTCTTTCAATGGAGCTCAGACCATTTGTTATGTAACTGGCTCCCACATAACTCAAAACCTGACAAATGCAGACTTCTGTGTTTTCATGTATTTATGTTTTGAAAATGTTTGATGTATTGGATGCCTGGTACGAACCAGACAGCCCATGTTCGATTCCAACCATTGGCCCTTTGCTGCATGTCATCCACCTCTCTCTTCCCCACTTTCCTGTCTCTCTACAGTAAAAGCTGTAGATAATAAAAAACCCAAAAATAATCTTTCAAAAAATGTCTGCTCTATTGCAGGTGGTGTATATTTATTGTATATTATCTTTTATATATTATTTTGTGAGCTTTTATGATCATCTTCATCTAATTCATGATAGGTATGTTTTACATGGGAATGCCACTTTTATGTGCTGCAACTATCTTGCACAGGACCCACCTACAAAAGAGATTTTTAATATTTCTTGGTAAATAACTTTATGGGTGTTTAATATTGCTGCAGATTTATGTCAGTGCCAGATTTTACAGACTAACACATAAGAAAAACACAACACTGCAAACAAACAACATTTCTGAATGTTTGTTTGTATTAATATAAATGTAAATGTATTCCCTGTTAAAGTAGATTGTAGTCTGTATTTGCAGTGTGTATGTGAGAGAGAAGGGGGGCAGGTACAAACCAGCTCTCTGTCTGTTATGTCTCTTGTGTCTTAATAAGGTAATGTTTGGAGATGGTTCACTGTTTACAGCAGCTGACAAGACTGGGCTATTAGTGATGGCAACTAAGCATGGACACACACACACACATACCTAGATTACCCTTTACTAAATGTACAATGACTCAACATCAGGCGACTAACTTTTATTTAAAGTGTGTGTTTGTAGTGTTTCCCTCATATGGAGCCTGAGTCTGACCCACTGAACTGTATGAAGTGAGTAAATATCAATACCTTTGAAGGATTTCTAAAATGTATGAGGGATATGGAAAGCATATCTAGACCTATGGTAAATGGTAAATGGACCTGTACTTGTATAGCGCCTTTCTAGTCTTCCAACCACTCAAAGCGCTTTTACACTACATGCCACATTCACCCGTTTCACGCAAGTCATCGAACAGAACTAACACATTCAATACACATTCAACACAGATGCTATGCATCAGGAAGAATTTGGGGTTCAGTATCTTGGTCAAGCTTCGCACATTGCAGAGGAGCATCGAACCAACAACCTTGCGATTGTGGGACGACCCGCTCTACCTCTGAGCCACAGCCGCCCCTATGCTGTGCCCAGCGACCTCGAGCACTGACATGTTTTCAGTACAGGTCAATTTAGAATTTGTGGCCATGATTGGTCCTGAGATATGCCAGTCCTTGCAAAGATGCAACATGGATTCAGCCTGAGATGAAGAACTGGGAGGAAAAAACACCCTTGGAGCTGGATTGATTGCCCCTGTGTCCTTGTAACATACACTCAGAGCACAATGCTCTGCTCCAACTCACTCTTTCTTTATATATATAAAGGAGCAACATTCAAGCATATTGATGTTTTATATATATATATATATAATGTAAGAAGCAATTTAGCCAAAAAGAGAAAAAGAAGAATCAGAAACAGTAGAAATATATACAAATACTCAGATTCTATAATCAGGTCTTTGAAGAGACACACTGAAACATAGTCCTTGCACCTGATAAAACACAATGAAGGACAAAGCTGTGTGCTTCAATGGGTAGTGGTCTACACACTGACTTGTCCTCTTAAAGAAGTCGTACCCTTAATTGGCACTTCTTTACTAGATATGATTAATCTTTCCTTATTGTCAGGATAT